TATCTATAAGATGGGAGTGATAAGACCAAACTCATAAGGCTGCTGCAAAAAATCAATGACAGCAGATAGAATATGAGTGGTGCTCCAGAGAGGGCAGCCAAGCCAGTCTGTGAGCTCAGGACTCTTCTAAGAGCTACTGGAAGGTACAGACCCTCTCCCCATCCCCACATCCAGATTTCTTGGATTTAGATTGTGCCAAATATAAACAATTTATGCCAAAACACTGAATAACTTAGAAGAAGTGGACAGGTTTCTAAAAACATACAGCCCACCAAAACCGAATCAAGAAGAAACGATTTGAACAGACCAATCACTAGAAGTGAAATAGAATCTGTAATTTAAAAAACAAAAAAAAACTCCCTGCAAACAAAAGTCCAGGGCTAGACAGCTTCACTGGGTAATTCTGCCAAACATACAAAGAAGAACTTACACAGATCCTTCTCAAAATCTTTGTTTAATATTTATCTTTATTTATTTATTTGGCTGGGCAGGTCTCAGCGGTGGTGCACGGGATCTTCGCTCTTCCTTTCAGCATGCAGGATCTTCAGATGCGGCATTCAGGATCTTTTCACTGTGGCATGCCAACTCTTAGTTGTGTCTAGTTCCCTGACCAGGGATTGAATCTGGGCTCCCTGCATTGAGAGCTCAGAGTCTCAGCCACTGGACCATCAGGGAAGTCCCTCAAACTCTTCCAGAAGACTGAGTAGGAAGGATCACTCCCAAAGTCATTCTATGAAGCCACCATCACCCTGATACCAAAATCAGACACAGACACTACCAAGAGAAGAAAAGTACCGGCTAAAACGTGATAACTTCGGACTATGATGGCTGTCCACTGCGCCAGTAACTGTTTGCAGTTCCATCCAAAAGTAGATTTCAAAGTGGATTGTGTGCATCAAAGCATTGCCCTCTCTTACAGAACTCTGTGGCTCCAGTCATCTCATTGGCTGCCCTGGGCTTTTAGCAACAGGCTTAACATTCTTAAGGAATAAGCAGTCAGTGGCACATGGTGGTTTCCATCCCCTGTAACTACTTCAAAATGAGCTTGGTGGGACTTCCCTGGGGGTCCAGTGGTTAAAATTCCACCTTCCAATGCAGCAGACACAGGTGTGATCCCTGGTCAAGGAACTAAGATCCGCATGCCTAGGAACAACTAAGCCCAACATGCCACAACTAGAGAGCCTGATAGCTGCAATGAAGACCCATGCGGCCAAAAAACAACAGCAACAGGGAGAGAGAGATGAGTTTGGTATTACTGAGTCACAATCAGAGAGGACAGGCCCCCTCAACAACCCCCATTCTTTAGTTCATCACTGACCTCCCCCTATAACTCAAATAACTTCTCTCACTTCTGCTGAAAAGGACCTAGTATGGATCCATACCTCTTAAAGATGTCTATTATGTAATCTTCCAAACAAATCCACTTGCATTCCCTCGTTTAGCTGTTACAACCATGTGGCAAGGATATCTTTGCTCAATTTGCAAACATGAAAACTGACATTGGAAAAAGATGTCGTGTTCAAGGCCACAGACTTGACAAATAATGAGCAAGGTGCTCCGATGCCTTTCTGTCTGGCTCAGAATCTCAGGATTCCTCCCTTGGAACTTCCTTGGTGGTAAAGTCACACCCATGAGTCCCGGCTCTACGACCTACCTCTTCACTAAGTCTCAGTCTTCCCAGCTGTAAAATGGGCATGTGATAATAAGACGCCTTCCCATGAGGGTAGTTGGGACTGTAATTAGCAAAAAGATAGTTCCTCTGAAAATGCCAAGCAGGAGCCAGCACAGAGTAGACGCCCAGGAATTTTTAGTCTCCTTCCCTCCAACTTCATGGTGCCATTGAGAAAGCTGAAGTGTACAGTGTCATCTCTCAACTGTAACACGCAGTGAGCAATGAAAACGATGGTCATGGGGCCCATCTTTATCTCAGGCTTCCCCCCACCCCCCACCCCTGTCACTCCTGCAGGTCCAGGTTTGATATGTGCAGCATTAATTCTTACAAAAGGATCCAACTAAGAGCAATTCTTGATTCTTAGCAACCTTGCAAATTCAGCCCTGCCATCCCAGATGAGGCTGTCAGCGCTTACCAGGAGAGCAGAGAAGTGCCTCGGAGAATGGCAGGTCTGAAGAAGCAGCGAGCTCTGGCCTGACAGTCTAGACTTAAATAAATTGTCTTTTGTGGCTGGGGGCGATAAGGCCTACGTTTGAAGCCGGTTACTCCTACACGTCATTATGCACGGCAACGGGAAAGGAGAGCGGCATCTTGTCCCGAGTTTCTAGCAAAACTGCGCTGTGGGTAAATAGCTCTCAGCCTTTGATGTTGAGCAAAGAGGAAAATGATCCTCTCCGAGAAGCCAGGCAGGAGAGGCGGGCTGGCGCGGTGCAGTCAGGGCGGCCGGCGGAGAAGTGCAGTCCGTGTGCGCCTGCCTGGCTCTGAGCCCCTTCTTCGGCCCCAAGATGGCAAACTGTCTCTCCTCTAATACCCTCGAGGAGAAGCAAGCAAAAACGCTCAGGAACAATTAACGGCGAAGCTGAGAAGACCAGAGCAGAGAAAGGTAGGGGAGGGGAGTGGACCAAGAGATCAGGTGTGAGTTCCCGCCAGAACTAGCAAGGCTGGCCAACACTTAAGGGCGCCTCCCAGAGGTGGGCGAGGGAATGGGAGTAGCAACCCCTTGAAGCCCATTCATTCATTCATCCAACAAAATAGACCCAGCCCCCACCCTCTCCAACAAACAGTCTATAAATCACCGTCTAGTTATATACTTTGATATGCACTAAAAAGCAGCGGTCCCCAACCATTTTGGCACAAGAGACCGGTTTCATGGAAGACAGTTTTTCCACGGACTGGGGTGGACGCGGGGTGGGGGTGGGAGGAGGGGGTGTCGGGATGTTTTCAAGATGATTCAAGCGTATTAAATTTATTATGCCCCACTGATCTGATCTGACAGGCGGTGGAGCTCAAGTGGTAAAGCACATGAGGGAAGGAGTGCGTGCTAAGTCGCTTCAGTCGTGTCTGACTCTTTGGGGCCCCATGGACTGTAGCCCACCAGGCTCCTCTGTCCATGGGATTCTCCAGGCAAGAACACTGGAGTGGGGTGCCATGCCCTCCTCCAGGGGATCTTCCCAACCCAGGGATCGAGTGTGCATCTCTTACATTGCGTGCATTGGCAGGTGGGTTCTTTACCACTAGTGCCACCTGGTAAGCCCAAGGGATGGGGAGTGACTATAAATACAGATGAAGCTTCCATCTCACCACTCACCTCCTGCCGTGCAGCCGGGTTCCTAACAGGTCATGGACCAGCAGTGGTCCGTGGCCAGGGCGTTGGAGACCCTAGCTATAAAGGGAAGTACTGGGAGTGCGGGGCTTGTACCTCTTTACAGTCTCCATAATCCTTGCATGTAGTAGGAGCTCGTGCATATGACTATTGATTGGCTGATGGAAAAAGCAAGGCAGGGAGGAGCAGTATAAGGCTCAGAAACATCCCCATGACAAAGACAACATGCCCCGAAAGATCATGTGTGTTAGAACCAGACAGACAAGGCTTTGAATCTCAGTTTTTCTACTTAATAGCTGTGTGACCTTGAGCAAGTTGCTTAACCTCTCTGGGCTATGGTTTTGTCCTCTGCACAATGGAAACAACAGTATCCACCTGTGGTTACTGTTGCATGTGATAGCTGCCCTGGTGAAGGAGCAAAGGGGGAAAGTGAGGAGGGATGTTATACAACTTGGTCCATGAGCTTGGGACAGCATCCTGGAGGAGGCAGTGGATTGATTCGGTCTTGGAGAATGGACAGAAGTTGCCCAGGCAGAAAAAGGAACAAGAGCCGTTACAGGTAGTGGAAGCAGCAAAGTAGAAAGCCACAAGTAGGCGAACCAGCAGGGCACCTCCAGAGGTGCCAGAGTTGTTTAATGTAGCTCCACCCACCCACCCACTCATGTATTCATTCACTTGTCCACTTGACATATATTTCTGGAATACCCCCAGGTGCCAGGCCCTAAGCCAGGGGTAGATTCCTCAGTGAACATGCAGAGGTAACCACCAAACCCATGAGCTTATCTTCCAGTGGATTCCCATGGACTCAGACGGGAAGAGGAGGATGGAGCAGACAGAGAGAACATCATAGGAGGCTGAGTGTGGAGGGTGGGCCTGGATCTTACTCTCAGGGGGATGGGCAGCCCTGATGGATTTTAACCACAGGATTAATATAATCAGGTTTGCATTTCTGAAGGAGTGAGCCACGATTCACTTAGAGGATGGGCTGGAGAAGGTTGTCTGGAATCCAGCAGTCTAGCTAAGAAACTGCAGCAGCCCAAGCAAGAAATGATGGAGGTCATTAAGTTAAAGCCGTGCTGAAGAGAGAAGGCAGAAAGTCAAGTTGGATGCAGAGATAGTGTTGACAGACCCTGCTGGTTGATTGGACGTGGGGTGAGAAAGAGAAAGAGGGGACACAGTCTGAGGGTCTGGTTTGAGCCCCTGGGCAGATGGCAATGCTATTCCCCAGGACACAGTGCACAGGAGAACCATCCAGTGGGGTGCAGACGCTGAGGAAGCCTTGATCGCATTGGGACATGCTGGCAGTCGGGGGTCTATGGGTCATGCAGAAATCATGAGTATCAGGCAGTTGGATCAGTGTGTCTGGAGCCCAAGAGAAAGCTCAGGGCTGGAGGCACAGATTACAGGATAGAAAGCATACAGACAATGCTTGAAACTTGAAAGTAGACCCGGTTCCCCCCGCCCCCTGGCCCCGCCCCCAGGTAAGGATTAACAGAGGGAGAAGAGACCAGACTCCATGGCAACAAACCCCAAAGGGTGTCCAGATGTGTTCTTTGATGCCAAAATCCAGCCCATTAACCGGGGGTGAGGTTAATCGTGGTCCCCAAGAGGGTTGGCTGTGACAGGCTGTGGGGATGCTGGCCTGCTGTTGGATTTCTGGGGTTCCCAGTCTGCCTGGAGCCCAGTCCAAAGTCACCCACTGCTTCTTTCTCTTCTCTCCCTCAGGTGTTTACAAAATATGGGAAGTGTTACATGTTTAACTCGGGCGAGGATGGCAAGCCTCTGCTCACCACGGTCAAGGGGGGGACAGGCAACGGGCTGGAGATCATGCTGGACATTCAGCAGGATGAGTACCTGCCCATCTGGGGCGAGACAGGTGAGCCGGGCCAGGGGCCGAGGCCGGGGGTGATGGCGGACGGGTGTGGCCTCCGGGGGACCTTTGCCTGGAGCGGGTTAGCTTGGCCCACCCAGTGAAGGGCTGCTCTCTCCATCAAGGGGTGGGTGACATGCCAGTGAATGGGAAGGACGTCCAGGCACAAACTGTGATGCCCTGAGTTTTCCTTGGATTTCACTAGGTGGGAGGGGGCCGGTGATGGGGATACTGGAAAGGGAGGGTGGGTAGGGTGAGAGGAGGTGCATAAGAAGGCTTGAATTAGCAAGTTCGGTTGGGGCGATGGGTGGTGCAATTTCAGGAGACGAGGAAGTGATGGACCAGCCCCTTCCTCTTTCACCATCTTGAATATCCCAGCCCGGCTACAGGGCCCAGTGGAAAGGAAAGCAGATTTCTCCCACTGGGGGAAGGTGGAGGGGCTGCTGGAAAATGGAAGGGCACAGACTCAGCCTGCGTGAGCCCACGGGGACCCCGGGTATACAAGTCCCAAAGCTTATTTCATGCATCCAATTATTCGTTTATTTATTCAGCAAACTATTCATAAGCCACATAGGCTATCTCAGGCTTTACACCAAAATAAGGATATTGACTTGAAAAAAGACCAAGCCCTTGATTACAGCCTAGAAGAGGAGACACACAGACCACTGGGACCTGAGGGTCCCCGGTGCTGCGGTGGGATGACAGCCTTCACCTGGGAGGTGGGAGGGTGCCGGGAAAGCATTGTAGGGCTTGGGGTCCTTGCCTGGAATCTTGAGATTATCATGAATCATACATGAGAGGTGTGCAGGAAGGACAGGGAAGGCACTGTGATGATGGAACGGAAGTTGGAATGATATGGCGGGGAAGCCTAGGGATGCCGGCAGCCTCTAGATCTCACCAAGTGAAGTGAAGAGGTGCCCAAGCGTGGGACCCTAAATGCCAAGAGAGATTCACATAACCCTCGGTTCAGGGACCAAAGATGGGGAGGAAGAGGAAGTCTAGAGATGGGCCTGAGAGGACCCACAGGGAGGGTTGAAGGGTGAGCAGATTCCAGCAGGAAGGAGGCCTGGGCCCTCAGGTTGGAGCTAAGGAGGGGGTGAAGGTCAAACACGCCCGCCCTCATTTCTTGCAGCCCAGCCTCCATCCCGTGATTCCCACAGCTGTTCCCTCAGCCCCATCCTGAGGTCTGGCTCTCCCCAGTCCCAGGCCCTCCAGGCTTCTGAGGGCAGCAAGGGCCTCCACCCTGGGAGGACAGACCATAAGCCCAGAGCTCTCTCCCGCCCACCGCACCCCCTCTCCAGGCTCCCCGCCTCTGAGCGCCCCTCAGGGCACGTTGTGGTCACTCCTGCTCCTGAAGAGTGAAATGGCTTCACAAGCATCACCCGCTCACATGGATCCAGTACCGTCTCTGGGAGCTCACCTCAGGCTCCAGCCCTCTGCCAAGCAGACACTTAGTCGAATCCATCCACTTCCCTAAATTCAGGGTCCCCACTGCCTTCTTGCCTGGAGAATCCCGGTGGACAGAGGAGCCCGGCGGGCTACAGTCCATGGGGTCCCAAAGAGTCAGACACGACTGAGCGACTAAGCACTGCCCTCCAGCAAACAGATAAAGAAATGTATTAGTGCCAAGCTCTGGAAAAGGGCCCACAGAGGCTGGGTTTCCAGAACATCCTTCAGGGCAGCCTGTGTTCTGTGACCTGGGGCCCAAAGACAACCCTGGGTCCTGGGAGCTGGGACCAGGTCCCCAAGACCTGGTCCTCTACCTTGCAGACACAGGAAAATATTTGCTTTTTGAACTTCTTGTGGAAAAGGAGAGAAATAAAAAATGAATCCTGGAGGGACGTCCCTGCTGAGCCACTGGTTAAGAATCCGCCTGCCATTGCAAGGGACACAGGTTCAACCTCTGGTTTGGGAAGATCCCACATGCTAAGGGGCAACTAAACCTGTGCACCACAACTACTAAAGCCTGCACACCCTAGAACCCAGGCTCTGCAACAAAAGAAGCCACCACAATGAGAAGCCTGCACAATTAGAGAGTAGCCCCTGCTCGCCACAACTAGAGAAAGCCCACGCATGGCAACAAAGACCCAACACAGCCAAAAATTAAATTAAAAAAAAAGAAAAGAATCCTGGAGACCCCATACCTACAGCCTGACCAAAAGTTAGTTATATCCTCCCAGTGTAATGTTGGATTTCTCACCTGTTACCTTGAGTCAGGAGCCAAAGCACATGTATAGACACACACGCACACACACACATGCACACACACACTGGCACACACACACACTCACAAGGCAGGCAACCCCATCCCCAGACATCCTCACCCAGCACGGCTCCCTGCAGGGTCACCTGGGGTCTGCGCACTGGCCACTGATGGTCTGGGTTCCAACCTCAGGGTCTTTCCCAGGGAATCTGCATTCTGCCCCCTGAAGCCGTGGATGGCCTGAGCAGGAAAGAACCTGAGACCATCTATTCCAGACACACACACACACACACACACACACACCGCCCCTGCATGCCTGTTCTACAGAGGCCTGGTGGGAAGCAGTGATGGACTGACAGTTACATGGTGAATCTGTGGCCAAGCCAAGACTACACTGACCCAAGCTTCTTGACCAGCCATCAGCCCTCATGGACCATGAGCTATATCCATTCAAGACAAATCCATAATCGTGGTTAAGGACCTACTGTGAGCCTAACACCTAGGCAGGACACAGTCGGACTAGAGAAGACACAGGACAAAGACCCTTCCTTTCAAGCTACTATCGGGAACCAGATGTGCACACAATCCAGAAGTTCCAGGCTCCCTCCTGCCAGCAGAATGAGTGAGAGTTGTCCCGAGTGAGGCACCAGAACTTGTCACTCAAACCGTGTCCTCTGAGGTTGGATAATTCAGGGCGTGAAGGAGAAGGGATTGAAAGCAGGACAGAAGCCAGAAGAAATTAGTTAGAGAAGAAACTGGCCATTGCTGTCCAACAGGACTTTCTGCAATGCTATCTGTGCTGTCCTATGTGGTAGCCACACTGAGCCTTTGATATGTGATCAGTGAGGAACTGAATTTTTATTATCATTGGATGTATATCCATTTAAATCGCCACAGGGGGCGAGTGGCCGCCATATTGGAGAGCACAGCTGCAGAAGCTCTGGTTGACTTCTTGAAGTTTTGCCTTTGCAGCCACCCCCGCATTCCTCTGGGGCCATAAGCACCCCTCCCTCCCAGCCTTCCCCTCATGCTGAGCAATAGGAAGGGCTCCTTATCTCCATTTGCCAGGGATGAAGGCTGAGGTTAGGCGACTTCACCCAGGCCACCCAGCCATGCCTCCTGAATCCCCACACCCAGACTTCCTCCACAGTACCTTTCTTCAGGTTGAGAAATCACTGTGTCATGAGCATTTCTTGGAGACTCTGGTCACCTCAAAACTGCTTGTGTCCTGGGCTGGTGGAGGGTGAGCCTCACATGGGTGGAATTGAGGTCCACACACCTGCTGAAGGACAAGAGGGGGGCTCTGGTGAGTGAGGATGTTTGTCCTTAAGGCCACCTGAGGAGGTGTGGCCACGCTCTGCTTTTCGGTCATTGCTCCCAAAGACTGAGGGGATGGCCAAGCCTCATCCCACCTTGGGCTTTGGGAGGGGGCCGCCTTCCTGACCTGCCAAGCCAGGTGGCCCCACGGATGCCACCTTGCCTCCTTGACCTTTCCAATTCCCCTCAATCCCCAGGAAAAGGAACCTGAGTCCTTAGAGGAGAGAGATGGGTGATGACGGAGGAGAAAGGGATGGAAAGCTGGCTGTTGAGGGAGTAGCCCCAGACAGCTTGATCACAGAGGCAGAGCAGCAGGACAGGGAAGTAACTTTATAGAGCCAGACCCATGGTCGAACCCCCAGCCCTGCCTTTACCAGCAGATCAGATGAACACTCTCTGCAAACTCGAAACAGTCAAAGGTTGATAATGACAACCAGTAGATAGGAGGACAGTCAGACCATCCCAGAGGCAGAGACTGTTCCAAATATTCTATACCAACACAAGGGTCCTGGAGCACTTTATCCTCTGGACATCTCATTCTCAAAGCGGAGCCTCTGACACATTCCTGCTTCACTTCTCAGAAATTTCAGGAAGCACTGAGGGAGCCATGCTTCTGGGTGTAACTGTGACCTACAGGGAGGACCTTTGGTGCCAAAGCGTGAACAAGGAAAAGGCATCTACTTTGGGTGGACCCAGCCCTATGGACTCATGCTTAGCAAGTAGAAAGTGACTATGAAATCGATCAAAAATGTCCTTCCCCCCAGGCTGACATTGCCTCCTTGGTCAAACATCCTTGTGGAAGGCACCCTGGAAATACGCCACTTTAAAGAAGGGAGGCTCAGTCACACACGGACCTTGACAGCATGCCCCCAAATCCTGAGTTTTGGATGTTACATGTTACAGGGAGAGTGTATGATCTGGAGAACCCTGGTTAGGCAGAGTTAAACACATTAATTCAGGGCAAGGATTCTCTATATGTCACATTATGAATCTCCAAGATACGAATGTTGCATAAAGCATTTATTTCCCCAATGCTTTTGACCGTGGAAAATCTTCTTTTTTATGGAGGACCTCACAAAATAGAAAAAGGACTGAAAAGCTGTCCTAGGCTACAGAAGTGCAGATTTCACGACCAGCATTTTGCTAAAGGAAATTAAATTGAAGGCAGGTGGGAGGTTGTTAAAAATGAAACTCTGTGTATATGCCTCTGAGTAACTTCAAAGATAAAAGAAATAAGCAGTGGGTTATCTAGGCTGCACATGAGAAAGCCCAGATTCAGAGAAGCTTGGGCATAAAAGAACTGTATTACCCCTGGAATCCAAGGCAAGCTTCAACAACCCAGCGGCAGGAAGGCAAGGGGGCAGCGTGAGGAACAAGTGGAAACGAGGCCACCCGCCGCCTTGGTCTTTCCCCCCTTCTTTTCCCTCTCCTCTCTCTGATTTGCTTTTTTCTCTCTCACTAGAGACAGGGTTTCTCCACACGTGTA